AGTTATGGACAGTCATTAGCTGCCATGTGAATGCTGGGAACAGAACCTGGGTCCTTTGCAAGAGCAGCCTGTGATCTTAACCACTGAACCATCTCTCCAGCTCATGTAAATTTTATTTTTGTTCATGATTTCAGTTCATAGTCACTAGGTCCTGTTGTTTTTGATCCTGTAGTAAGACAGTCCATCTTGGTAGGAAGTAGGGCCAGAGGAGGTCTGTTCCCCTACTGGAGGCCAGGAAGCAGACAGAGGAAGAAAAGGGGCCATTATATCTCCCAAGGGCATTTTCCCAATGACCCAACTTCCGCCTACTAGGTTTCATCTCTGGAAGATTCCCACCAGCTCCCCAACAGTACCTCATGCTGGAGACCAGGTCTTCAATACACAGGCTTCTAGGGAAACATTTAGGACCCAAACTAGGGCTGTGGTTATAGGTAACTTTGGTAAGAGTACTTACCTAGTATGCATCAAGCTCTGGGTTTGAGCCCCAGAACTACGTAAGCCAGAGTGGAGGCACACACCTATAATCTTAGCACTTTGGGAGTGGAGGAAAAAGAATCCTCGTTAATATCCTTCTCAGCTACATAGCAAGTGTAAGGCCAGCCTGGGCTACATGAGTCCCTTTTTAAAAAAAAAAAATATCAAACCTTAACAGGAAGAGCTTAATTTCACTTTTTGAATGTGGGCTACACATAATGATAGCTTTCCAAAGAAGACACTGTGGGGTAGGGGTAAGCTAACTTTAAGTAGATAAATCACCTAGCCAGGTGATTAAGATTACTATCTACAGTGATGAGTCATGTTGACAGTATGTGTTTTTGATATCTGATGAGGACCCATGTCTATGGTCTTCCAGTGATAACTCCAGAGGCCAGGGGTGTAGCTCAGTGCACTTCACTTGTTTAGCATGTACAAGGAAGGCCTTGGGTTTCTACTTTGGATAGTACACAGGCATAAATTTAAAATAACTATATAAATATACATGTGGTACTTACTAAAAAATTTCATTGATGGAAAGCCTAAGTCTGGATAGAGGTACTGATTTCAAAACAAAAGGAGGGCAGGGTGCTGGGAAGATGGGTTTCAGTAAAGTGCTTGATGTATAAATATGAAGACCTGACTTGACTCCCCAGTACCCACATAAAAAGGAATGCACCTGTAATCCCAGTGCTGGGGAGTTGGGAGTCAGGAGTCCCAGGCCTTGCTGACCAGTCTAGCCACACTGGCGAGCTCTAGTTTCAGTAAGAGAATCTCAAAAAGAGTAGTGTTGCCAGGTGTGGTGGCACATGCCTTTAATCCAGTGCTAAGGAGGCAGAGGCAGGGGGATCTCTGTAAGAGCGAGGTCAGCCTGCTCCACATAATGAGTTCTAGGCCAGCTGCGGCTACAGGGAGTCCCTGTCTCAAAAACAAAAAGTAGTGTGAAGGGAATGATCTCACGTAAGGTGGCATTTGAGCAGGAACCTGAAGGAAATAAGAACATTCATAGGATTATTGGTGGGAAGTCGGTCCAGCTCAAGTGAATAGCAATGAATAGCTAGAGGCCAGCGTTGTGAGGGTCAAGAGATGTCTGGGAGATGGGTTGGGGACCAGGTTTGTCAATTTACTATAAAAACCTCTACTTAAAATTTTATATTCATAATCTCAGAAATTTAGACTAATATTGTCTGTTAGCACAGGGTTTGACATAAAAAATAATATGGAGAGTTATTAAGACACTTGACATTGCTGGCCTCTACATTCATGTGCACATGTACATATACTCACACATGTACCCACACATGCATATCCATCCACACGTGAACATTCTTTTTAAAATATTTATTATTTTATGTATATGAGTATATTGCCTACATGTATGTAAGAGCACATGTGTCCTGCAATATCTGAGGAGGTCAGAAGAGGGCCTTGGATCATCTGGAACTGGAGTTACAGATGGCTGTTAGTAGCCATGTGAGTGCTGGGAATCGAACCTGGGTCCTCTGCAAAAGCAGTCAGTGCTCTTAACCACTGAGCCATTTCTCCAGCCCCTTATTTTTACTTTATGTACTGCCTGCATGTATGTAAATGCTCCTGTGTCATACAATGCACTCGGAACTCAGAAGAGGGCATTGGGTTCTCCTGGAACTGGAGTTATGAACAGTTATCAGCTGCCATGCAGGTGCTGAGAACTGAACCCAAGCCCTCTGGCCAAGAGCAGCCAGTGTTCTTAACCACGGAGTCATCTCTCCAGCTCCACCGCCCACTCCATTTTTCTTGAGACAGGGTCTCGTATGAAGTCCAAGCTGGCCTTGAAGCAGTCCTCTCTCCTTAGCCTCTCAAGGGCTGGGATTTACAGGCATGCACTACCATTAACAGCATCTGACTTAAAATTTTTTTCATCTGGGGCTGGAGGGATGGCTCAGCAGTTAAGAGCACTGACTGCTCTTGCAGAGGACCTGGGTTCGATGGCAGCTAACAACCATCCCCAACTCCAATTTCAGGGGATCTGCCATCCTCTTCTGACCTCAGGGGGCATTGTACAACATGGGCGCTCTTAAACACATGCAAGCAATACACTCATACACATAAAAAATAAATTTTTTCATCTAAATTTGTTTTGGGGGGGTGGGGGAGCAGGGATAAAACTCCCTGAAGACCTCTCAAGTCATGTCTCATCTACCTCAAAGATTCTAGGGAAAATGCAACTCAGGATTATCCTTTGGCTATCTGGGCTATTTCACAGTAGAACTAATGAAGTCTATGACTAAAACTCCCAGGGGGACAGAAGACACTATTTCATAGGGAGCAAGGCAAGAAACTGGGCTCTGTTGTATTGGGACCCTTCTCTTTGTCCCAGAAAAGGGCCCATTACTCATAAGCAGACTTTGGTTCTGTCACTAAACAGGTGACTTCACAGTCATGTTTCAAAGAAAGCCAAGAGGTTCCTTTGGTTCCTTGTTTTGGCCTTGTCCATTGAGTTCCCATTAGAAATTTAGGGCAGAGCTGTCCTGGTAGCACATGCCTTTAGTCCCAGTACTTGGGAGGCAGAGGCAGGCAGATTTCTGGGAATTCAAGGCCAGCCTAGTCTACAAAGTGAGTTCCAGGCCAGGTGGGGGCTATAGAGAGACCCTGTCTCAAAAAGACCAAAAATAAATAAATAAATAAATAAATAAATTAGGGCAGTATGTTCCTGAGTAGACCCTTGGACCTCCCCCAATCTTAGGGACTCATTTCAATTTGTGTATCCTAAAATCAGTTGTCAGAGCAGATCAATCCAGACACCTGGGTCTGGCCCAGGCCTCAGCTGCTGGACTTGGATTTACAACTGAGAGCAGATAGGCAGGTAGGGCCTTCGTACCTACACAGCAGCCAGCACCTGAGCTCACTGCGGGGTGGGTAGGGCCACATTCCCCAGAGGTCACAGCTGAGTCACCAAGCCAGAAACCGAGAGATGAGTAAGTTTCTGTCTGTACCCAGGAGGGAGCTGTGCTATAGGAGGCAGAGTGGAACCAGCTTGGGATGAGGCCAAAGGGCAGTTCCTACCTTACATTTCTGTGGGTGTTTCCTTACAAAATTTAATCACTATATGGCTACCATAAACACAGCTACCTCTACAGCTTAAACAGAACTCCATTAGATGGGACCATGCCCTGTTGAACGCAAAGCAAATCTGTCTTGGGAGGAGAGACACAGGCCTGGCTACAAAATTTTCTGCACTCTAATCCAACCTCTGCTGTAGCTATGCTGATCCATTTGGGCCACGCATGTAAGTGGAAACCACTGTACTCTCATCAGCTTTGAACTTCTCCTGGGAACATCTCATGGTCAATAGAACGCTGGTAAGAACAAAGTCCTGAGAGCTGACCAGTTGTACAGAACTGTCAGAGGCTAGCTTTCAAAGCAAGCTTCAGAGACTATCATCCAGAGCTGGTGTACACAGTAGCGGGGAGCAGGATGACAGAGCCAGGTTTGGAAGACACCAGCTTTCTGTGACAGGAAGACTCATGCTATACCTCCAAAGGCTGAGATGACTAAGCCACATGCTGCTTGAGAAGCAGTGAGCAGATGGCAGGTACTAAATAAGCTGCTGTGCCACTTCTGGAATCAGATGAACGGTAGAGCCACTTCCCAGATAGTAACAGAGGGTCCCGTGACAACTCTTGAGAGCACTGAGTGAAACTTACTTCAAAAGGAAGTTCCCCCTTTATGACTCTTGGGCACCAATCTGAGGGGTCATCACACAGGAGGAAAGGCAGCTAGGAAGTGATTTTTACAGTGATCCAGAGTGTTGATGGGTTCACCCAAGGTGCTTCCTGGCTCATAAAATGGTCACTTCCTATTCTGGTGTTCTAAGAGAGATCTCTCCCACATATATCTGCGAGCACCTGCAGGTATATACAATACGACCCTGCCGGCTACATGTACTTAAGTTGCATTCTAGTGAACTAAAGACTCAGATCAGCATCTAAATTTACTCTCAGAATGGCAGAGCATTAAAGACTGGATATAAACAGCCCTCAGGCACAAAGCCCTGTAAGCAGCAACACGGGCTCCAGTGAGCAGACAGGGCCTCCTAGTGGTGGTTTACTTAACAAACTCAGAAACAGAGGCTATGAATACTACTACCCTGAAAATTCAACCCTAAGTGCTATTCATTGTTTTCAGTATTGGAAAGAAGTCTTGTATTAGTGTTGGTAGCCGCCCGACTTAAATTTTGCCAAATGTCCTAGGCAGGATTTCCTTCAGTTTCCTTTTGTTCTCAAGACAGGGTCTTGCTGTAAGGCTGGCCTTGAACTCAATAATCCTCTTATCTCAGCCTCCCAAGTGCTGGGATATAGCAGTACACCACCACACTCAGCTTCCTTCATTTTGTGAATGAAAAAAAATGCAACCTTTGAGTTGACTTATTATGGCCTCTATTATATGGGCTGGTAACAGGTCAGACAAGGAAGACAGCCATCATCCTCAAAGGCTGGAGTAAAAATACCATCATCACAGATCAATGTGGTCAATAATACAAAGGGTCTTGGTGGAAGTTAAAGTATTTATTGATGTGTTTAAATTCTGTACATTCTCCACAGATCATATAAAGGAGTCTGTAGGTGAAGTTTAATCTGTGCATAGTGGGAAGAGGCATGGCTAGGACCAAGGGGGAGGAAGGAGAGGAGGAAATCACAAAAAGAGAAAAAAAACACACCACAGGTTACCAGAACCTTCAGATTAAAACAAAATAAAAACAAAACAAATAACAAAAAAAAACCCCAAAAGTTGTGAGCATCAACATCAGCTACATTGAGTGTTACAAAGACTCATGTGAAGGAAACAAAAAATTTCAAAGATTTCTACAGTGTCTACAGATCCAGTTTCATGTACAGCCTAGAACATTCTCCTTTCACATGAAGAAGCCTCCCACGCACTCTCCTGGGTCCTCAGTCACCTAACTTACTGTGGTCTTCTCTGAGTGAACATCAGAAGGGCTGGTGAGGGAGGTGGGGGTGCAAGTGAGGTACAAAGGAGGGCGGAGGGTCAGTGCCTTGGCAGGAGATGTCCAAAGAGGAAGAGGCTGCACATTTGGACACACTTTGTAAGGGGAAGCGGGTAATAAAAAGCTCAGTAAACAAGAGTGGAAGAACGGCACATATCAACTACAGGCTAGTTGCTATGGAAGAACTGGATTTCCAGGGAAGCAGCAGGGAACACCCTCATCTGTATGTATTAGGCTCACTGGAGATGCCAGAGTAAAAATGCCTTAACCCCTACTTGGTGACAGGGTAAGTATAGAAACACCCAGGTACCCAGCACTGGAAACACATGGCTTCCAAGAAACTGGTCCTTTGAAACAGTTTATGAGTGTATCATGATGCTCAGGTTCATTTAGTTTCTCAGCAACTTTTAAAAGGGAATACTGCCTTTTTACATTAAAAAATAAAAATAAAAACCAGGACAGCAAATGAGCCTGAAGAACTGACTTATATAATGCAACTGGAACAAACAGCCTGCTCATACAGTCTGTCGTTGAAAAAAATTAATGTTTTTCCATTTATATATTGTATGTGAGACAATATAATAGAAGTGGCATTTCTAATTAATTTTAAAAAGAAAACTACATCCATCAGATATCTGCAATAGATCATTTTTTAAGGTTTATATATCATATAGTTATATTAACATTTTTCACCCATTTAAAAGAATGGAAATTGCAATCCTACAGTAGTACTTTATAGTCTTAACAATCCAGGAGGGCAGGCTGTAAGATGAGACCTTCTGGCCATCGGTGGTCAGCAGTTAAGCACAAATGCTGGACATCTTCTGCCCACCTGCATTACCTCCAACCAGGGTGTGACACTTCCTTCACTTAAATCTGCATCTGCTCTAGGTATTTGTAGGTCGGGTTTTCATAGCCATGGTTCTGCATCTTGTTCAGATGACGCTCTTCTGGGGTGAGCATTGGGTCCACCTGGAGGAACAAAGATTACAGGTCACTGCAGGAGACCAAGCTGTTTGCTGCACAATCCCCTGGGATCCAAAGCAGGCCAGCATCCTTTTTCCACTCAACAGACCAAACCAGAACTAGTGTCAAGGGTACAAGGCAAGGGGGAAAGAAACGAGGTCAAAGAGCTAATGTTTCTTTCTGAAATGGGAGACTCAAAAGCTTAGTCTAAATGGGAGAAACAGCCCACTGGATGTCTTAAAGCCACAGTGACCAGTGATTCTCAGTTCTGCCACTTAGTTTCTGGGATAGTAGAGAAGTCATGTCATGTTATGCAATAAAAGGGGCTGGATAGTCTCTAGTCTTTTCCAGCTTTAGAACTCTACAGCTAAGGCCAGCCTCCAGCAAAAAATAAAAGCAAACCACTAATACTAGTCTGTGTAAACTACCCTTCAAGAGCATATTATATCCCTTAATGTATTTATAACCTAGAATAAGAGACTAAACATATCCACTAAAAAAAGGAGTGGCACGCTACTCCAATTACGTATTAGCAGAAGATAGAACAGAAACAGCTTGCCTTGGCCCTTTTTAAATTTCCTGTTGCTTTTTGGTCCCACCCCCCAACCATTGTAAAAGAGAAAAGGGGTTGAGAGTGTAACAGAGTACTTGCCCAGCTCAAGGCTCCTGGTCTGAGTCCCAGTCACACAAACACACATACACACACACCCCTGAAAAAAGGAAGTATTCAGGGGAGAAAATTATTTTTACTTTTTTTTTTTTTTTTTTTTTTTTTTTTTGGTCTTTTTGAGACAGGGTCTCCCTGTAGTCTCTGCTCGCCTGGAACTCACTATGTAGACCAGGCTGGCCTTGAACTCACAGAGATCCACCTGCCTCTACCTCCCAAGTGCTGGGATTAAAGGCATGCACCACCATGCCCGGCCTATTTTTACTTTTTGAAACACAGAGTTTTTATAACCTTCTGATATTTAACCACTTAATTTGATTAAAACCCACATTGATACTGAAAGTTGGTGACAGTCCCTTGAAACAAGAGCAACATAACTCAGTTATGGCTGACTTCTAAAACATGACCTAATTATTCAACAAGTAATATCACTGATGATGGCACCATGTCCAGCATTCAAGCCAAGATCTTTGTCCACACAGTTCTGGACCTCACCTTCCAGTTCCGTCAACAGTGCAGAGCAAACTCACACCAGCTCAGACAAGGGCAAAAAAAAAAGACCACTCCTCACCTCCACAATCCCATGGCTGATGGTGCCATATTGCCTCTTCCTCAGCATCACCAAGCTGATGACAATGACTGTAGCAATGGCCACTGCAATGACCAGCAAGCCAATAAGGGCGCTGCTGCTCAAGCTGAAGTCCTCCCTCAGAGGTCCCACAGATTCCTAAAACAAAACAACACATGAGGAACAAGTCCTAGTGATCACCTGGCAACTTGAGACAGGAAACTCAAGGGACAAGTACTTCTCAGCTTGTTCAAAACCCCAGGGCAACACCCAGATCCCTCTTTATAGACATCATCCATATAGGGATGATGTTCATCTTTTCCAATCTCCATGGAAATTTTCATTTTTGCTTACTTACTCAGAAATGTGGGAAATGGGGACGAGAGTCCCTTATCAACTGACAATACCAGTGATAATTCATTTTTCTACCTGAACTGAGAAGGGCGAAGGAGAAAACAGGACTGACATGAAAATTGGCCTTTAGTTCTGGCACTAAACACATACCGGTTCTTCCTCAAGGCCTCCAACTCTCTCGGCATTGAAAATCATTTCCTTAACATCCAGAGTCTCATCAATCACCTGAAATAGTTAGGAATGTCAGCATCTACTAGCTGAGTAGGAGGAGAAATTCAATTAAACATCATTCCTTTTTGTTCCACTTGATGGTTTGTATTCTACTGGTGGAAGCAGACAACCACAAACCAGTTACTTTTGTCGTATTGCTCCAAATCCACTCATCTAACCCTTAAATAAAGGGTATGTGTGGATACAAAAGTACTGTATGGTGGCTGGTCTTCAATTTTACTTTCCTTGAGGTAACTTGACTCCCAACAAGCTTCATTTAAACATCCAACTCAGGCTAGGGAGATAGAATGGTGGGTAAAAGTGCTCACTCACCATCAAGCTTAACAGCTTGAACTCAGTTCCTGGGACCCACATGATGGCAGAAGAGAAAGACTACTGCGAATTGTCCCCTGACCTCTACACATGCAAAGTGGTATGCATGCTTGTGACACACTCCCCAAAATTAAATAAAAATATAATAAAAAGAAATCAAAATCAGTGGAAGGCAATCTAAAAACTTAAGTGAGAGAAAACAAGAATGCAAGGAGATATAAACTCCTGACTGTAAGAACCAAGCTCAGTTTTATTTTCTACTTAATAAATCTCTACTCACTTGAAAATAGCCCCTGATGTTATTTATACTTTCAGTTACAAACGTATTTTTCTACTGTATAACAAGAGAAGAAATACTGGAGAAAAGAGGACTCATTAGTGCCCCTCCTCTCCTGGTACTAAGCAGCACAGCCAATTTGCAGAGCAGCTAGTATCCTATCTCCTACCACATGGGAAAATGAAATGTAGACATGAACCTAGAGTACTAACCACCAGGCCTCTCACTCCAGCGCACTAAATGGAAACGTGCTATGCAGAAGACAACAGGCTTACCATGTTTTCATCCATTTTATTCTTACTGTTTATCACTTTTTCTTCTGCACCAATCAGTCCCCCGTCTTGCTCTCCTATTCCAGACCCTGTGCAGAGAAAGATACAGCCGAGTTTCTAGGCAGCACATTTCAGGCCAATCTCACAGAAGTAGCCAACTCCTGACTGAGGGCCAGAGAGCCCCTCACTCAACATTCTCCCCATGGCTCCATATGCTACTGCCTTGCCATGTTTGAGGATGCACTGTGTTCTACAAGGATGAATGATACAGGCATTTTCAAAGAATCGATGTATAAAATGAAAGAAGAAAAAATGTGTACTTGTCTCCCACTTGGAGGAATGGAATATAAGCCTTGGGAGAGAAGCAGAGTCCAAGGGTGTTCTAGGATGGAAAATGTGTTCCAATCCTCATATGTAACCCTAATGTACACTTGCTATCCAACAGCTCAATTCTTTGGTACCCAGATCCTTTTGCATAGATGAAGGACTGCCACCCAGCAATATTTCACATTGTGTATTTGAGCAGAACAGGTTCTTGCACAAGCAATTCTTTCTGCTTCAAATGCCCTCCCCAACCTCACGTCCTCTTATTCGTCCTTCAAGCTTCGGCTCCTCTTGGGAAACATTCCCAGTTTGCAGCACTCAAAATCACAATTTATGATTATCAATCTCCTTCTGTGTCTCCCACTGGATTGTATTCCTCTCAGACTTGAATGCTAGACAGTTTCACCCTAAGTGGTGAGCACAGATGAGTAGGAAGAAAGCGGTCCATCAACATGAGAATTCTAACCAAGGTGCAGAAATAGTAACTGCCCCTTTTCCAAGGTCATACATGGCCTGACCTAACGTCACTCATGCGTAGCATAGGGAACGATGGCCTCAAATGAGCATCATGAGTGGACTTAGCATAGACCGGGGGGGGGGGGGGGGGGGGGAGAAAGTCCTATTATTAGCTCCAAAGCATGTGATTTCTAGCTACCATAAGTTTTTTATTAATAACAATATATACACATCTATGATTCGAGCCTTTTATAAACAGATCAACCTGATAGCCTACTTGGCATGCTAAGGTGAATAGATTCCATGACTCTATACACAGCGCTGCTCTCCCCAGAACTGTGAAAGGATGGCAATGACACTACAGCCCAGCCCAGTCACAGCAAAGCGTTCCAGCTCACGACTAGACTCGTTTTTTTTGTTTTTTTTTTTTGTTTTTAATCTTTTAGAAGCAGGGTCTCCCTGTAGCCCCAGCTGTCCTGGAACTCACTATGTAGACCAGACTGGCCTTGAACTCACAGAGATCCGCCTGCCTCTGCCTCCCAAGTGCTGGGACTACAGGCATATGCCACCACGCCTGGCTTAGACTTGTTCTTAATAAGAGCAACAAGAATAATTAATGGCAGTCTCTGCAGCTGCTGAGCTTGCAGGCTAGATAATTCATTAGCTCATTACAACACTGTGGCCAAAAAGCGAGGAAATTTTTTCTAAAGCTTTTGCTTTAAAATAAATGCACAACTTTATACTAGTTAAATCAGTGCTGGATTTTGTGTCTCGAAATGCCAATGAAACAATACTACCTGCCAACCATTCAAGAAAGAGGACTCTAGAAGGGTACTGACTCAGCAAGGATGCTCAGAGCCAAGTAAATTCTGACTTCTTTCTACCTCACACTCCCCTCAGAGTTTCAAGTTATAAGGATAAGATTCTTAGAAGTATCAGGTGGTACTGAACCAACTCATGTAAAGGCCTACCACCAGTCCAGACTGTTCTAAGACTTTTCAGTGTTATAACCCATGTTGGTTACTCTGGTTTTATAAAATGCATTCAAGTGACTTCAAAAGACCAAGAATTAGCGGTTACATTGTCCCAACAGGTAAGCTTAAGTATGAAAGCAAAAGCCAGTTAAACTTAACATCTAAGATGGACAGATGAGAGCAATGTTAGCATAGGGATCTTCAGGAAGATGCAAAGCTGAATATTAACATGCAAGCAATTCTCAAATATTAAAACACACTTTTCACTTCTAAGAGTAAATTATGGCATAAATCAGAACACCAAATTTTGAGCTAGGGAATGCCACTTGGTCCACCCATGATCAGACTGTCAAAGCCAAAAGAGAAAGCTCAAACATATACTAAGAACATGCATTACTGTCAATAATTCAAGAGAGGGGATTGCCTGACCACTTGGGAGATTCAGCAACTGTGACCGGCAGTTAGGCAGCGGAAACCACATGGGCTCTGAGGCTAGAGCTCTGGGACCAGACCTAGGTCCTCTGCTTATTAAATTCACAAATTTGGGAAGCAAGTCATATAAGCCAAAAACCCTGCCCAAGAGGGAGGTTCAGTGGGTTAAATAAGATCAAACATGTAAGGCAGCTGGCAGAATGCTTTTCATAACACATACTGCCTTTGATGACTGGAGACTGACCTGTACTAAGAGTTCACCTGTTTCTACCTCTTTCATTATCAGCTTCTTGTGCTTAAGAAATGCTACAATGCAGAACACAGGACAAGATAAAGACAGCTAAAAAGAAGGGGGAAAGGTAATTGGGAATAGCAGAGAAAAAAGAGCTAAGAGAAAATATAGCCCACCAGATGTAAGTTATGCATGTTATTATACATACTAGTATTCACAACAGACCTGTTAAACTAAACATGTTTCAGAAACTGACCCAGGCAAAAAGGATTCAGGGCAGCATCTGTTTCTCAGGCAACCCAGAAGGAAAGCTTAGGGTGGCCACACTGTGACTGGACTCTGCACACTGGAAAGCCAGGGAGCTTGTTAGTGACACAGAGGCAGGGCTACTCTGGTTCCACTCACAGCCATGACTGAAGAAATGAGGTGGGGAAAATCAGATGGCAGTATGAAACATAAAATGAAACTTCCAACACACTGGGGAAGTGAAAAGGAATGGACGTCTTAAGGGAACAGCTTTGACAAACCAACCTTTTTTCATTGGGTGGTACAACTCCGGCTGAGTGTCTAGCAGAAAGGAAAACAATAAAAAACAAAATAGCACAAAAGGAGATTAAGAAAGAAAATGATTTCCTTCTAAGATCCTGTCTTAGAATTTTTCTATAATGTGCACAAAAGGCATTTTTTTTCCCTAAAAATTATGCCTGAAATATCCCATAAACAAACCAACAGTAATCTGCACAGCAAACCTAGATGGTATCCCTGATGAGAGGAGTAGAAGGTCAGGCTCAGGCCTGTTGGCAGAAACTTTAGAAGATTCCCAATTATTTAGCTTACCCCATAAAATTATTCTTTTTTTTTTTTTTTAAGAAAATAGAAAAAAATGAAGTTAGTATTGTGATTTGCTGACAAAGAGACAAGGTACTAGTCGAGCTATGCACAAAAATGCCCCAATCCCAAACAAGTGTAGAGACTCTGTCCATGCATGGCCACCCTATACTCCCATAGGTTTGAGACCTGTATGATAAGAATTTAGGAATGAGGCATCATCACTTGACCTACTGCTTTCTTAAGTCTTGTTTTAGTATTGGATGGTCAGCTGTCCTGAGTGTATACCTCTGAGGTAATTAGTTAGAAGGCATTTCAGTTAAGGTCTAAAGGATAAATTGGATACATACCTTTCTGTGAGTCTAGTACCTTCACCAGGCTACTGTATCTAATCAGAGGTATGTGACTGGAGCCTAGAGGTGTAGGGTTTGTCAGCTTAGGTTCAAATCCATAAGCTATCAGCTAAACTACATGACCCTGAACAAACTTCAGAATCCCTAAACAGGACACTCAACAGTACCTACCTTAAAAAGACAGTTCAGGGGACTGAATGAAAAGGATCCTGGCCCGATGCTTAACTAAAGCTGGTACATAATCGGGATTTCAAAATTATGGGCCATTTTTATCATTTCCATCCTCACCATCAGCAGTAGTACACAGAATCTGATTATACATACTCGTCTCTGGGCATGAATCTCAGTAGCCTGTGGCCCATGGTTTTTAGATACCTTTAGATACTGAGAATCAGCAAGAGAATAAAGGAAAGCACACCTGACTAGGAATCAAAGAATACAGCTTCTAATCCATCCCACATCAGAGATGCAACCTGAGCTGGTACATCTCTTCACTCCCCTACCCCATCAACCACCCTCTCAAGACCATTAGGGAAAGATAATGAAATGTTACAGGAAACCCACAAAGTAACCTCTACATGTAAGGGCACCACAAAACAGAGGGCTTAATATAATCTATTAAATGGGAGGTATATTCCTGATGTCCTAGTGATATTGACGCCAACTACCGACTTTAATTTCTTTATTTCATTCTCCCCTATTCTGCTAGCAGGAGTGGCTTTATGGACCATACATACCTTCATTTTCAGATAAGGATGGGAAGGGATGGAAGGGATGGAATGGCGGAATCTCCTCACTCTCCTCAGAGCTCACCCGGACGTCCACAGGGCTCTCTGAGATGGAGGCAGTGAACTGGTCCATGTCTGCTCGCTGTTCCTGAAGGAGCTCATCTAAAAAGACAACAGGGAACAAATAGGCAGGTTTCAGAAACAGTTCTAAACACAGGAAGGAAGGATAATTCTTGTCGAGTCTACTCTGACTCTGCAGCACTCCTGGTCCACCTATCCATCATTCATCCTACATAACTGCAATTTCACATCCTTTGGACCTACTTCTGGCAATGTTAGTTTTAAAAATATCATGACTCTTAAACCTGGATCCCTGTAGGCAACCAAATTCTGCTTCATCCACATCTAACATCCAACAGCACTGTAGCATAGCTACTTCCTTGGGCTTGACATGACCATCACTGTCCTGAAGCAAAGGAGCTGAAATGATCCACATAAGATCCTTAGAAGCCTGGGAGGGTAAAAAGATTCATAAGAACCTCTTGAGGCCCCAACCCTTCCAAAGATGCCAATCACCACTACAGAAGAGGTAAACAACTGATGGGCAGGATTGCCTCACAGGGTAGCCACCTGTTGAGTCACCCATGCTCTTGTAAGTAACTGCAATGAACTCATGGGGTTCACCAAGCAGAGCTTGGATGGAATTCTTACTTTGATGTATTAATGTCCTGTTTGGAATGATATCCCTATCTTACTCTGTACAGAGAATTCTAGACATTGAAGCATATATATGAGACAGGGTTTCAACTTGTAGTCCTGGTTGGTCGATACTTGCTATGTGGACTAGGCTGGTCTCAAACTCACAGAGATCTGCCTGCCTCTAATCCCATGTACTGGGTGGGACTAAAGGTGTTTGCCACCACACACAGCTCTGCACCTTTTTTTTGGAACACATTTTAAAGACCTCATATTTCTTTTACAATTTCCTGCGCATTTCACCACCATCTTGCCTCTGGATGCATAAATGCTTGAAGGCTAGTTTCCGGCTTTAACCAGTCACATGGTTTTTCAACAAGGCAGCTGTGTATGTGCGTTTTAAATTACATTAGCTTTTAAAGCATAAATCTAGCTTACAGCTTTCATGAACAGCTTCCCATTATCCTAGACTAAAATCTAAGCTCTTTGATTTGATCTGGACACTGCCCACTTTGTTCTTGTGTCCCCCTCACTGTGTCCTAGCCACATAGATCTACTCCAATCTGTTGTCTGGCATCGACTTTGGGTCTTTGGAGTCACCCTTCATATGCTAACAATATACTTTCCCTTGTGGTTTTTGCAGACAGCTTATTCAGATCTCGGGTCACTGCACCCCAGGGATCATAGGCCATAGAGCACTATTTCACCTTGGTTGGAAGGTCACCACGACCACCAGGTATTTCTTGTTTTACTGTTTCTTTTCTACCATAACAGGAGCTCTAGCAGATGTCCACTGGTGTACCATTTTACTCTAGGACACACAGTAGAAAACATAATATATATTAGCAACCAAGTGGTAAAAAGGTAACAGGAAACTTCCTGGGCCCCTGCAATTTCACACCCTAGAGTTTCTTCCGCTAACAAGAGTGAAGGTCAAGGAAATTCGAGGCTCTGTGGCTCCAGGCCAGTACAGCTGTCTTTGGGGGTGCCTTGACCTTGTCTTAAGCTCCAGTCAATCACAAACTTCTGAAACCATGGTATACTAATGCTCCACCTCATCAGCCTTGCTTGTTCGTACTTATTTCATCTTGCCAAGGCATTACTCCTGGGCGTCAGCAAGAAGTTCCATCTAGCCTTGATACGGTTAGTACCCACCAATTTCCTCTTGAATTTCTTGGGCCACATAAGGAACTTTGTAAAGCAGAGAAAGGCTCTGGTTCCTTCTTTCTTCAATCACATGGAGGTGTGTCATCACCTAGAAGCACAAGTATGATAGAGAAGCCTTGTCATCAGAACTACCAGCCAGGAGGAAACAGCACACAAAATACCCACACATACTTACAGAGAGACTCAAAGAGAATAGTCTCTACAGAATATAGCAGAGCAGCTGGTAGGATGAAGTCTACTTTTTTTTTTTTTTTGCCATATTTACTAACCTCTAAAATATAAGACAATGTTATAAAGCCTGTGGATGATTGCCAACACTATATTGGGTCCAAGAACCCTAGTTTGTACAGTGCTACACTTTATTCAAGTTTTGCTGAATGAAAGAGGGAACGTGGTCATAGTCACTTTTACCACTAGTCAGCTTAGAGTAGGTAAACATACACTGAAATTATTAGCTAAAAAGTAGGTTCGTGGGAAAATGAGATCATTTATGGATGCTTAGTGAAACAGCAGCTGTTTAAAATTATTATGGTTAAGATCAGAACTTAGTCCTATTTAACTAAAACACTATTCTTTAAGAAAAAAATCATGCTGAGACATAAATAAAACTGATTTTAAAGGGAATGTTGAAAGGAAGATTTATCTATCCTAGCTTACTACTTTCCTGAATGCAAAGGTTGTTTATCCAGTGATAACAACAAAAACATTCAAAGTACAAATGAAAGGTGATGTGCCCCAAAGACAGAGAGCAGCATGCTGCTGTAGCTCAACAAACTAGTTAACAGCAGCCTTTCTGCTTAGGCTTGCAGCTGCTAAGCTTCTCCTAAAGAGGGTACCCAAGTCAATGGACTCTGTGGCCTTGAAGCCATTAACAAAAAAGGGTCAAAATGAAGAAGAAAAATATAAAGATGCTTTTACTATAGATTGATGCACTTCTGACCTTTAAAGGCCAAGATGAAAGCAATTTAATTTTATTTTGCCATTCTGTCAATCAAATAAATTGATAATAAAGCAGAACAGTGATTAGCTTGGCAAAAAATGTAAATGGAACTGCAATGTAGCACCCAGACTCTAAGAATGTGCTCATCTATTCTACCTTCTTCAGATGAATTGAGGAACCATTTGAGAGAAAGTGCTTCTTACACCCAAAAGAGGACCAGAACCACAGCGTAGAAGAGTGGAAATTAGTGTCTTTCTAGAGACCTTTGAACTACAGAACATGAGGAATAGGTAGAAGCACTCGTTCTCAGGGAGGCAAACATGGCAAATAGTACCCAGGCTGAGCAATTTTTCCCCCCTTGGCGCTGAGGACCAAACCCAGGGCCCTACTGAGCTAAATCCCCAACCCCAGGCTGAGCATTTTTAATCCAAACTTTGAAATGCTCCATACTCTTGCATGCTGACACGATACCACAAGCAGAAATGGACACACAAGAGCACTAAACATACTGCTTGAAGGTACTTTAGACTATGTGTATAGGATATGCATTAAACATAATGGATTCAGGTTTAAACTTGGGTCCAAGAATATCTTACTGTGTATATAGTAGTTTTTAGATCTTAAATCAGAAATACTCCTGGTTCTTAGCATTTTGAATAAGAATTACTTAACTTGTAACAGTCTCAGAATCTTACGTTTTTCAAGTGTTCAGAGAAGATAGGAAACAGGCAAAGATTGACGTAATTCACTGGCCCCAGCTTGTTAGAATCACAAAGTGAAAGCAGGCAGTAAATAGCTCATAAGAAAGCTAGGGCTCCCCACAAAAGTTCAATGGAATGATTCTACTTCCTGGTTTACTTGGTATGGTAGTAGCATCTTTGTTGTAGGGACTCTCTAATAACTTATGTATTGATCAGACCCAGGAATGTGGAACTCAGTGGAAGAGTACCTTACTAACATGGGTAAGGGCCTAGGCTCCATGTCCAGCACCACAAAGAACAATCTCTATCTGTCTTCCTAGAGATAGTCTGGAACCTTTGATGTTTTCCTTTTCTTACTCCATCTAGTGTGAAGTGAGACCTTAACCACAGGCCCATACCAGCAGCTTCCTAGGGCCACAGTACCACCCCCTTTCCACCATCCCACTCTTCAGGCACTAGAGTTCTTTAATTCCCCCCAACATCTAACTTCTAATGTGAACTCTGTACCTTTGAGGAAAATAACTCTTCACCTTTATAATTAATAAAATTAATTTTATATTAGCCTATGAGCCTTACTTAAGAGACCCAACTTTGTATCATTAGATGCTACTATGGAATTTGGCAGGTAGATGGTGACATATGCACTTCTGGTCAACAAATGAAGTGAAAACTCAGCTCCAATATTCCTAAGACTTCTAGGCAAATTATTTTATGATTAATACAAGAAGTTGGGAAGGAGAATTTGTGGGATGACATTGTAAGTATTTACAGTCATTTAAAATATGGAAGGAAATAAACCAAGATCAGTGATGTTATTACCGGGCCCTCTGGAAAACTAACTGGCTGAGTCACTAGACTTCCTGGCTTAAATGCTGGTGGAGTAAAGCCAGACCTGCCATGGACAAAACCCAAAAACATGTCTGCCTGAACAAAAAGCCTAAGGACAAAACAGGAAGGGAAACCAGTGGTACTCAAGATCAAATTCTGGGTCCCAGACATTCTAGGCAAGTGCTCCTACCAGTGAGCTCAAAATCAACTTTTAACACTTGCAAGACATATCTACCTAGAAAAGGATCTCAAATGTTAATTCAGATGATACACTAAATCAGAAATAAACAGACTTATCTCTTCTTTGCAAAACTCAACTCAGGTACCAAATGTCTTCAAAAATTGTTTTCTAAGAACTAATAAGAAGCACAACTAGCAGTGATGTCTCATCATCCACTGGAAATTCTTTCCAATAATTTCTCTGTCTGGTGTACCTGGGATTTCATCTGGGCAGCCTTTTCTGGGTCAACAGCCAGCACGTGTTGGTAATGACGAATAGTATGCAGGCGATCTTTGTTCTCAGCACGAACATAACGCCTCAAGGCTTGGAGAATACGATGAGGCTGTAAAGGAGTATCATTGTTTTAATATCCAGAGACTAGAGGATTCAAAATTGGTAAGGAAAACAAGAGCTTGAAAGTTCACTTAAAAATAACAGCTACAGACAGGGTATGGCAGCACACGCCTTTAATCCCAGCACTTGGGAGGCAGAGACAGGCAGATCACTGGGAGTTCAAGGCCAGCCTGGGCTACATAGTGAGTTCCAGGAAAAAAAAGACAACTACAGCTGAGTGTGGTGGCAGAGGCCTTTAAGCCCAAGCACTCAAAAGGCAGAGGTGGGCAGATATCTTCGAGATCAAGGCCAGTCTGGTCTACATACCAAGTTCCAGACCAGCTGGAGCTACAGGGAGACCCTGTCTCAAAACAAAGAATGAAAGCTACAGCTTTGGAAACAAGTAGAGAATAATCTTACCAAGAAAAACACCAAAACTCAAGGACTTATTTCCAACCTATACTGTTCCTCTGATCTTTTTTCCCTGGCTTGGCCTAACATCTGAATTGTGAGCTAGATGGTTTCCTTTGTCACCCAAAGAGAAAGACTTCAATGGCTTAATCAAGAAGGACACAAATATTATCAGTTACATTATCTATATTTAGCCTGTGTATGTATGTATGTATATACATACACATGGGGGGGATGCATGTCATGGCATGCATCTAGAGGTCAGAGTGAGTACAACTCTGTGGAGTTCACTCTTTCCTTCCACTTTTATGTGGGTTTGGGGGATTGAACTCTGGTTTCTAGACTTGTGCAGCAAAGGCCCTGAGTCGTCTCACCAGTCCCTGTCCAATACTTTGCCCACTCAAGGCAATTTAGAGTTCTACAAACACTGAGACCAGTTATTCAATAAAAAATAAGTTGCCCTTTTTCTTGTTATTAGACTCACCTCAAGATTGAGATCCTTCTGCCTCTGCCTCACAAGTGCTGGGGTTACAAGTATATACCACCACATCCACCTTTTTTCATCATAATTTTACATTGAATGGAACTGATTCAAAACTTTTATTTATCCCAGCACCTGGGAGGCAGGGACAGGAGGATCTCTGTGGATCAAGGTCAGCCTGGTCTACATAGTGAGTTCTAGGCCAGCTGGGGCTACAGGGAGACCCTGTCTCAAAAAACAAAACAAAACAAAAAAACCCAAAAAACAAACTTTTATTCAAAGGTGGCATGTTTTCATTCTTCGGAAGTAAAGCTACCTACCACAGAAAATTCAGTAATGGTATAACTGATAAGTATCCTGAGATTATGCTTGTTCAGTGTGAAACTCTTGCATATCATAGGTGGCATATGCAGGCACACAGCGATATTAACAACAAAACTAAGCTCATATGTGCAAATGCTAGAACTTAGTTCCTCTTTCTTCCTCATCTTTCCTTATATTCATTTTTGCAAAAACTTGTCATAAAAACACAATTTTTATCAATGTGTATGGCATACATTGGAGTTCATTAAGTATATGTTTTAGGGTAGGCAACACTATGCGACTCAGCTTTGACTGCAACTTACCCGAGGTGGGTCAGACTGCAAGGCAGCCAGGTAGTTCTCCAGAGCCACCCGTCGACGGTCATTCAGCATGGCTTCCACTCGAGCCAAATGGGTTTCTACCAGTTGCTGCTTCTCACTGGCTGCTTCCTTCTCTAAAGCTTTAACCATAGCTTGGAAATGCTAAGCCAAGAAAAGAGGAACAACACGTAATTTGTGGCACCTGTAGGAAGTCTAAATGGGCACTCTCAGAATCCAATGCTTTCTCTGGTCAGTGCCTATGTAAGAGAGTGCTGCAAGGGTGAGGTCAAGGTATACTTTCTCTTATTTCAATCAGGATGCTTCCTTACCTAAAAAAGCAAATTAAGGTTGAGTGTTAGAGGGACTCACATTTCTGTAAGTGAAATTACTAGGTTTGCAATTTCAATGTTTACCAGTCTTTTCCATGTTCTGGTAAGATGTCAACCTCTAAATCTTGAAGCCAACAGGAGATATATTTTGAAGCACAATTTATTAATGTGGTAGAATCATGCCTATTAAAATTGGGAAGGGCAAGTTAGCTTTAAGATGCCCAGCCATGTTCACAGGAAAGTTTAAGGTGTTGAACTAAAAGTCCCTGTACATGATGCAATTGTTTGTGTAACAACTAAAGCTCCAAGGTTTTCTGAGTGATTTAAAAAAGCAAAGACCCTCCAGGAAAGACACCATGAGGAGAGAGTTCAGCTAAATATAAACTGATTTAAAATATAATCAGCACATGGCCTGGGTGAGGCTCTTGGTTCAATTCCCAGTACAAAAAAAAAGAGGAAAGGAAGAAAGAAGAGATAATCAGTTTTTCAAAAACAAGTAAGTCTTATTAAAAATTGCTAGCAACGCCCATCCACTGAAAGGGGGATACAATTTGCTACTATGATTTTAAGGTTATACTTTTACAAAGATAAGAGATAAACCTACATTAGAGAGCTCTGTTTTCTGCCTTTTGACTTATCAGTCTGTCAGTTTTTTAAATTCAGCAGTGTTGTAAAGCAAGTCACAACTCACAAAAAAGATGACAGAGGACTTTTTGCCAGGAAAGCAGAATTAACTAAGAACAGCTGAGGTAAGGTTACTTCCTGCATGAACCCTCTCTGGGAGAGAGGGTTTGGTTTCCTTGTGTCATAGGTGAGCAATTCCAGTGGTGAAAAAGAAATGGGGGAAAAAAAAAAAAAAGAGTTCAGTTACAACTTCCTTGTAATTTAAGTCCTTGACTAGAAGGAGGTGTCAAATTCAAATTCCCTGGGAGTCTGGCTCTGATTATGTTTTCAGCAGGTCAGGCTAAATGTTTTATCCCTAGAAAAGGCATCTTACCTGAATGAGGGTCTGTCTCTCTGCTTTGGGGAGGTTCTTGGCTTGAAGCTCTGCCTCTTCCCATTCCTTCTTTACCTAGAACAAAGATCAAAAACACTGATCAGAGAATAGTTCTCTGCAACAGCTTCCCCATTTTCTAAAAATACTGCCAGGCACTAAATCCAATGTCGGAAATTATGCAAAAGGAAACCACATCATATGATCCTTTGAATTCAGGGCTATTACTTGGAAAGTTTTAGGCCTCAGTCATTTTCAGATAGAACCTTAATTCCACGTCCTCTTTGTTATATAACCTTGGGCAAGTTACTTAGAATTATTTGTGTCTCCCCCCTGCCCCCCCGAAAAAAAAAACTCTGAGATTAATACTTATTTTTCAGAACTGATGTAGATAAATAAAATAACAGAGCATGTCCCCAGGAGTAAGTCCCATGTAGGTAATGCATAACGGCTGTGTCCAGCTCAAGTCCACAAGGTTTTCTTCTTATCCTTATTCTGAAACAGTCTCATTAGCTCAAGCTGGCCTCAAACTCACTGTGTAGGCTTGAACTTTTGATCCTTCCTGTCTTCACTGCCCAGGTGCTGAGATTACAGGTATACCCTGCCATCCTGGTTTACATGGTGCTGGAGACTAAACCCAGGGCTTTGTGCATGCTAGGTAAGCACTCTTTCAATTGAGCTACTTCCTTAATGCCCAGCAAGGAATTCTTAGGTTAATTTCCTTTCAACTCTAGTGAGTCTGGAAGGAAGCTGTACTCCTGTCTCCTGCTTTTATACTTAAGACTGCTTCTAAGCAAAGGAACATCCCTGAGAATCCACCCTCTGCAATGGTAAGAAACTAGAATGTTTGCCTTCATCTAATCTACTTTTAGTTCCATGATATAAGTTTTCAATTTTGATAGTGACATGCCTCTGCCTCCAGAGTGCTGGGATTAAAGGTGTGTACCACCATGTCTGGCCAAAATTTACTTTTTTAAAATAAAAAGAACTTAAAGCCAGTGAGGGCCAAGAAAAGCACTAAGAGAGAATCAACTACAGAAAGTGCTCTGCAATGTCTGCAACACCATTCAGAGTAATGACACCATCATGGGAGATACCTATGACATTCTAGGGACACCACTTTCTTCACCTATAAAAACCATGCTGCAGGGTGCTTGCCTAGTGTGCCAAGTCCTGAGTTCAATCCTTAGCACCAAAAAACAAAACCACTGTGATAAGGAAACTGGTGAGGTTTACCCTGTCCATACGGTTGCGGTGCCGAATTTCCAACTGTTCCTTAGCCTTCTGGAAGCGAGCATGCTCATTATCATCAGCCGAGGTCTCAAAATATACATCAACATCATTGGTTGGCAGAGGAGTTGGGGGAACTGAAATAAAATTACAGAGGGAGTTTTCTTTGTGAGCCAGGTACTGTTAACACTGCACAGTGCTGTAGAAGAAAAATCAAGCTCAGGACCTGCAAGAGGGACTCAATTTGTCTTGTGGCTTGCTAAAAAATGCAGGGTGCTTCTGTCTGCCAAGATTTCACTTTGTTAGATTACACTGTCCAATCTTCTTAGCATAATATTCATTGACCATGGCAGTCCATGCTAATATGGCTATTTATTGGCAGCTCTACCCCCTGGTAGCTTCAGCACCAAGAGGCATTTACTTAGTAGAACTGCAGGGCAGAAAGAGACACCGCTCCTTCTACACCTTCCCTTCAGTGCCTGAAACCTGAAAACCTATTAAACAACTACCCTACTGCTTGTTACTAACGATGTCTAAATGGGAAACAGGGTTGAAATTAGACCCCATGGAGATACTTCACACAAATTATCTCCACTTTTAAGGAACAGACTCCTATCTCTCTTACAGCAATCTTTAGGCCTTAATTTGGAGAAACTGGTTCAATTGAGCATTCCTTCATATTGGCTGAGTAGAAAAAATCCAAATCACTCTAGTTATAATTCTAAATTTTTTTTTTTTTTTTGGTCTTTTTGAGACAGGGTCTCCTTGTAGCCCCAGCTGTCCTGGAACTCACTAGGTAGACCAGGCTGGCCTTGAACTCACAGAGATCCGCCCGCCTCTGCCTCCTGAGTGCTGGGATTAAAGGTGTGTGCCACCACGCCTGGCTATAATTCTAAATTTTTAGCATCACCAAAAGACTCTTCAACCCACTGATCAATAACAAGGCTAACGAGTTTGTTGAAGTTTCTATATTTGATGAGGACACGTCTCACTGATGGGAAAATACTTCAGCCTTATGTGATTCATGGCATTAAGGGGGCTTCCAGGTGTTTCCCCAGAGCATAAGTTCCATTGAAGCAGATACCTCTTACCTCACTGCAGGCCACGCATGAAGTGAGAGACCCCAAAGCAAGTGCTGTGTGTGCAAAATGAAGTCTAGTCTCTCTAGGAAAAGTACCAAGATGGCCACTTAGTCCTAATGCATAATTTTAATCCACAGGAACAAATATGTAACTGATAAATACAGCTACAAAGTAGCCAGCCACTCCCACAAAGTTTATCAGTCACAGGCATCTTTCTCCCTTTTATTTAATAATTCTAAAATCTACAACTAAAATCTTGTGAGGAATATTTGGTCTCTCCGTAAATTTAACAAACTATTACAACGCCCAACTTTCAGATCACAATTCCTCAGCAGTTTACTTAAAGTCCATGAAGAATTTTCACCAATAGCCATCAACAACACACATCAGAAGTATAAAAGATCCTGAGCTGTGGACAGTTCCAGTCCCTGTGCTTGACTGCAACAATGCAACACAGTTTACCAAAACACCCCCTGGACACAAGCAAGGAAAAGCACAGCGTCCTGGAGGTTTCCTTCTGAAGACATGGTCAGGTTAGAATCATGGCTGGCTCTTGAAACCAACATACCCAGTCACCTCAGCCCCCCTGTAAGAGGGACACAAATGTGACCATTAGAAAGAAACCTGATGCTTCTAGACCTTTAAGGCCCTCCAGCCAAAGGCCCCCTAAGCATACATACATACATACATACATACATACATACATACATACACACACACACACACACACACCCCTTCTCAACAAATCTCTCCTCAGCCACAGGAAACACTCCTAACAGAGACAGCACTTCCATATTCAGTGAGATGGTTAAAAGGCCCCAATTCCTTAAGCATTAACCCAAAACAATGGCTTGTTAATCCTTATTGTGAGTCATTTTACAAAGCAGTATATCAGAACAATTCTCACCTCTAAATCTTTCTTGAATAAACAAAGCTCATGGACAGAAGTTCTCTTCTTTTTTAACCTTTTCAGTGCTATAAAATAAAAATAGCCTTTCCAGTACAGCAGCTGGAGTGGAGGCAATGAAAGTATACTATATTAGATTAGGGTTTTAAACCTCTTTGGGGAGACGAAGAAGAGAGCACATGAAGATATCTGAATCAAAAATCATGAGAAGCTACAGCAAATACCAGGCACAGACAGCAACCCTCATGCTAACCAGTTCCAGAGCAGGAACCAAGAAACACCACCTCGCCTGAGGGTTTTCTTAGCACATGAATAAGCACTGCAAGAAAGGATCTTAGAAGAGAAAGAAATTACCATGGAGAAACGAAAAACTCTATTCCTATGTTTAATATAAACCCAACTCCACTGAAGCACTGCCCTTCCTGAGACCAAAATCCTAAACCCCTGCACAAGTCAATGTGACCAAAACACCGGAGAAACAGAGTTGAGATATTCTGGCTGCAGGGCTCTCCTCAGTAGAGTGCATGAAACAAGGTGTTTAAGTACTCTAGAACCTGTAAAGTATTCCCGTTGTCACTCCTTCTGACAGTGGGAGTTCTGACAGGTGGCATGTAGCACAGGGGTCAGCAACAGGCCAGATCAAAGACAAGAAAGAGAGGCATATGCCAGGACACAAGCATGAGCAGACCTCTGTGCTACCCTGCCATCACCCTATGGTGCCTTTCAACCAGAGATAACCCAAGGACATGGCTGCCTTCCCTGACACCCCACACCCACCCAGCCTTTGGACTCGAGGGCCCAGGAGAAGGAAGAAACCCCTGGTTGGGCCACCCTCTGCACCAGGGCAGACACATTACCAGTAACAACCATCAGAAAACACAAAGGGAGCACGGGACACCAAAAACTGAGCTCACAACTGTCCACAAGAAAGCAAAGCCTTCCTCTAAAAAGCACAAAGATGAGAGGGAAACGATTGACAGCAAACACCCAAGTCAGCAGAAACATGACACAGATGCAGTCACGAGGACAGCCGGGAGAGACAGAAGGCTGGACAGGGCGGCACTGCTGTGCAGGGCCAGCACAACGCGGGACTTACTCATCGCTTTACACACAGCCATACAATAATCCTCAGACTCAAAATTGTTCCTGTTGCCGCCGCAGCCGCCATATATAAAGCGCACGCACTTTCCCTTGGAGAGGTCGAAGTACCAACGAGGCATCACAGCCCGGCAGGGCCCCGTCATCGCCTCCTGGGAGCAGACAGCTGTGTGAAAATGGTCAGAGTATCAGCAGGGCAGAGGCAGTGCTTCAAATGCTTCACAGTGCTACAGGTCAGCCGAGGCAAGGGGGGACCACACGAGACCTGCAGGCCCTGACTAACCTCGTTTACTAATCTAAGTGGGCAGAGTCACCTTCCATATGATGAACACTCCTTTTTTATTTTGCACGGAGTCTAGATTACTACACAGGCTGATGTAGAGGAGTTCCTAGTCTTAATTCCTTGAGCCTTACACTTCTGATCTTTGCAGTAGTGACAGATGCCTGCTTTGACTATTCTGATAGCTTCCAGGACCAAAGCAGTCAGTGTGAGTAGAAAGGCCATTTTAAGTGGTGATGCCTATGGCGAGACTAAAGCACCTGCGAAGGACCAGTGTTCCCACTGTCACATTCTCCATAGCGAATAGCATACTTCTAGACCAGCTAAGTCATTTCCTCCAGTTGGGTCCTAAACAATGCTTCAAATATACAACTAACAGAGACTTTATATAAATAATTCTGGAACTATCATAGCCTTTTCTTTTTGTTTTGTTTTAAGATAGAGTCACAGTATGTAGCCCTGGTTGGCCTGGAACTCACTATGTAGACCAGGCTGGCCATGAACTCAGAGATCCGCCTCCCCCAGTGATGGGATTAAAGGTGTATGTCTGACCCTTTTGTAAAATTTCCAAGACTCAGCTTCTGCTTACCAGCTACAAATGCCTGGCAGAAAGAGTAGCTTACAGACTGGAAACATACAGAGAAAGAAAATCAAGAAAGTAATTCCAATCTAGAAAGCTGATAACTTGTGAAAATACCAAAATGAGAGCTCCTCTTGGGAGAAGAGAAGATTTTAGGCTGGATGTGGGAAGAATCTATAGCGTCTATATTGTTTTTTATTCTTTAATTAAATCCTTAGAATGCTGAACGCTTCCTGGTTCCATTCTGAATCTTGGACATACCCACCTGCTCACTGCTGACATAACTCCACCGCCACACTGGAAAGAGCTGCATTGGTGCAAAGACTGCTTTGCCTTCTGAGACTTACCTGTGATGACTGATGAATGCAACACAAAGTCCAAACAAACAACCATGTGGATTTTAAAGCCATGGCTTTTCACTGGGTTACCTTTAACATCGTGAGCAATTTCCTTGTCTGAGATAGAGCTGTCGCTGCTGGGTTCCGTTGGGTTCTCCTCATTGTAGTCATCTCCTTTAAAAGTGTCATAGTAGTAATCACGATCTTCCACCACTTCCTCTCCTTCTTCCTCATCCTCATCCTCCTCATCCACAGCTGCTTCTGTGAAGTCTTCTAAATCTGTTTCAGTAGGAAATTCACTAAAGGACACAAACAAAAAAGGAAGGTCAGCACCAATTTCTACGCACAAAGCACAAAATAGTTCCCTTCTCTATTCTGAACACAAAAACAGAGACAGGAAATAAGCTCAACTCACATGTAACTGTGCCACTAAGGCCCCCAGCCCAGCTCTATCCTCAAAAGGGAAGTTAATGAACAGCCTACAATAATGTGCAGAAAATAATGTGGCTCAGAACAGCAGAAAGACCAGAGTCACAGGTTTTCCTATGACCAGGTATGACTAGAATAAAAAGTGGATGAAATCCAGTACAAAGGGATACTCACCTTACCTGATCCAGTGGTGAGGGACCAAAAGCCAATAGCCACTTTTACAGAGGAGCTAACAAAACAAAATGATTCCAACACTCCGGACAAGGGGTTACCTTTTATAAATATCATAGTCGTCTTCTTCATCCTCTTCCTCCTCCTCCTCCTCCTCCTCTTCTTTTGACATAGTAGAGTCAGAATCAACTATCTTGGTCTGAGGGCAGCACACATACTCAGTGCCATGGAACTGGTCTACTCCACAGGGCAGCAGCATGCCATAGCTATACAAGGTCATTCCTTCAGTCAGACATGCCTGAAAGAAATCCACAGTCCACATCACAACACTTCCCACAAGACTCTTGGATCCCTGGCTTTATCCAAAAGGAACCCTTATAAAATCACCAGGTAATGCAGTTTCTCATGGACACATTTAACCATTAGCTATGATGCTACTATTTTAAGAAGACTTGAAATTTTTATTTCACGTACAACCTCATTTGAGCCAAAAGCAACTGAAAGCCAAATGTAAAAATTTAAGGAACAATTCAGTTTCAGGAATTAACATTGGTTAAAGGTGACCAATGCTAGTTTCTTCTACTCTTGGTACTGCCACCACTTGAGAAATTACCCAAAGAAAAGATTGCTAACTGAAGAACTAACTTAACTCTAGAGGATCAAAGTAAGAAAGGGTATTCCTCTGCACCACAAGAATGAAATGGCATCCAAGCCTGCCCTGCTGTGTGCATGTCCACACCCAGGTTTTCTAGAGTTGGCTATTTCCACACGGTCCTGAGGGGCTAGGATGTCTTCTTGGGAGCCCTGCTGACAGCACACAGTCCCTTTGCTTAAGTGCCTTTTAATCTTCTTTCCCAGCTCCCTTTTCTTTTTCTATGATGCTAGGAATCAAACCCAGGGCTTGCACATGTTGGACAATTGCTCTATTAATAAGCTATACTCCAGTCCAAATGATGGAGGAAACACCACTATTTTCTTTTCCTTTTTGACAGTGCTGGGAATAGAACCCAGGGCCTTACTCATGTTATACTACAGCTCTATGACTGATTTATATCCTTGTCCCCATTAAGAGCTTTAACTTTAGAAAACTCGATTGTTCGTGCTGTCTTTCCCTACAAAAACCTCTAATCTTCTCCCTGGTATTTTTTATTTAAAAGACAGAAATATCAAGTGCAGTGGTACACACCTCCAACTCCAGCATTCGGGAGGCTGAGGCAGGAGGACTGTAGAGAGTTCCAGGTCAGCCTGGGAAACATATACATAGCAAGTGCTCAGCTAGGCAGAGCTATATAGCAAGCCCTGTCTCAAAATAACAACAAAGGGCTAAAAAGATGGCTCAGGAGTTAATAGCACTGGCTGCTCTTGCAGAGGACCTGGGTTTATTTCTCAGCATCCACCTGTCAGCTGACAGCCATCTGTAACTCCAGTTCCATGGGATCCCACAGCCCCTTTCTAGCTTCTGCTGGCACCAGGCATTCACATGGTGCACACAGATAAATGCAGACAAAGCACTCATACACATAAAATAAAAATAAATATTAAAACCAAAAAGAACACCAATGTAACTGTTTCTTCCGAAAGATGCAAAACCTGCCTTGTCCTTGTTTAGTCTCTTACCTCTTTGACTACATTGTGCCAGTGCTGATGGTTCTCGCATACCTCCATCAGTTCTTTGTGGAAAAACTTGCACTTTTCTGGAACCAGCAGAACATCACTTACAAATTCACCCACTAGAAAAAGAGAACCTTTTTCAGAAGCAAATCTAATTATGATTCAGGTGAAAACAAACCTTCAGTGCACATTACCATGACAGTTGTACTACAGACAGCTATACGGCCAGACGTGCAGTCTCTCATGTCCATAAGCAGATGTGGGCACCACAAGAACTCACCATCCTGCTAGGGGCATGGTGTCAGAAACTTTGCTAATAATGTTTTCTGACTACAACCCCTTGTAGAAAATGCAGCAATATATTTTGGGGGAGATATCAACAGGATCCCCCTCCAGGACCACCTCAAATTGCACATACAACCATTCCCTGTGACCTGTGTGCTGAATCTTACTTTAGACCACCATTAGAACAACTGATGCAGGTAAGAATAACAAAAGCTGTTTTTCCACTTGGGGAAGTCCCCAACACCATTACCTGTGTAAATAAACCTGCTGCACAAGTATGCCAGCTGCATGTAAGAGTCCTGTGTCATTTATGAGGCTCTTGGAGGCTACAGCCAGGGCAGAAAAAAAGCACAAACTGTGTCTGATAGCTATCCCTGGTAGATGACATCTTTGGAATAAACAAGGCTCCATGAAATCAAGGCTCCTGAATTAACTCTCATGAGCAGAAACACTGACCTTGCACACAATGAATGTTTAGGATATATGACGAATTCAGTGCCTAAAAGAATTGCATAGGAAACATCTGTAATAATGAGCAAGCCACTCCAACCAATACTAAGTACAACTGCTCTAAGTAGACTACACCTCAAAGCCTCAGACTAGTGTAATTGAGATAATGAACAGAAACTCTGGTTGTCTTTCTATTCCTATAGTTTACTCTGTGTCTAAATCTCCACCCCAAAGTACCTGAAAATACAGTCAGGCATGGTTCACAGCTCTCTTCTCTCAGTACTGGGGCTGATCCATATGCAAATACAGAGACGAAGGAATTCCTCCCTGCAAATTCCTGCAGTTTCACGTCACACATCACCAATTCTATTTATTTGGGGCACTCTGTTTATTTAAATAAAGTTGTATAGATAACCAGAAGGCTCACTTTGATTGAGGACAGAGAAGACTGAACTGTACCTCCTTACCAAATATCATTTTATTGAGTCATACTGATGGGCAGTGTGTTCTCAGGACATGGTAGAGATGAGAGGCAGAGTGAACACAGATACCTACAGACAGTACAACACTGTATGTGTTGAAACTTCTGCTGGCAACTTACTCTCAAATTTGTGATCAAGGCCCTTGGTGCTAAGGATGTAGTTTAGTTGGTCAAGCATTGGCTAGCATACAGAAGGCCCTGGATTCGATCTCTAGTACAGCATAAAACCAGGTGTGGTGGCTTATGCCTGTAATTCCAGTGCCCAGGAAGCAGAGGCAAAGGACCAAAAATTCAACGCCATTCTTGGTTATATACAAGAGTCTGAGGCCAGTCTGGACTACGCAAAACACTCTGTAACAAACACAACCACACAGACAAAACAGAAAATATCTTAGACGTCAACCTAATAAAAGCAGTAACAAGCAAACAACAGTGCAACACCCACATACCTCCTTATTCTGCTGGGTGCTCACTGCACTGTGTGAACCAAATACTGAACTTTCAAACCAACAAAAAACAAACACAAAAAATAAACACCACCACAACCACAACCAGAAAGAAGGAAGCAGTAACAGAACAGTGCCTAAAGATAGGGTAGGCTGGAAAAATGGTGCAGTGGTTACGGCTGTGTACTGTTCTTACAGAGACCTTGAGTTCAGTTCCCAGGACCCATGTCAGGTGGTTCACAACCACCTGTAACTCCAGCTCCAGATGGATCTTCTGGATTCCATGGGTACCAGCATTAATGTGCACATACCCAAACACACACAATTGAAAATAAAAATTTTTAAAAAGATAAAGATAAGAACTCTATGACATCTAAGCCAATTAACAGAGGCACCTAATCAATATACAGCTCATTTTCATCTGCTCCCCATCTCCTTAACCTTCCTCTGGCAGGCCTATGCTTCAGATTTACTAGGCAACAATAGCTTTTTAAAAATTTATTGGTCTCACTGTGGTTCTCGTAGTAAATAAAGTATACAGGACTCTCACTTTTCATAGTCTCAAAAATTAAAAAAAATTTTTTATGTGCATGAATGTTTTGCCTGCCTGTATACAAGTATACCACGTGCATGTAATGCTCACAAAGGTCAGAAGAGGGGCGAAGGGTAAGGCTGAGACCTTAGGAAACAGCCTGAGAGTGCCTGATCTGGCCTCCACATGGTGTAGATGGAATCCCACTGAAATGGGATAACAGCCCATGGAAAACAGATGATGCAGAGACCTGAAAGTTTAGTGCCACAATGGGAGGAAGATTATTCCATACCTATCACCCCCTCCAAGGCTCAGGGACTTTTGTAGAAGAGGTTGGAGGAAAGAATGTTAAGAACCAGAGGAAGGGGTGGAGTGTTACCTGGATGTGTCCTCCAACCACTATGCTGGCAAGATATGGTCACACCTCCTTCCGATGATGCTCATCAAGGAATTGAGGGGGGAGTCAGTTACCCCTCCCACCCAATCAGTCAACCTTAGCTGCATGTTGGGGAGGGACTAAAGATATATAAGCTGAGAACACTATGAGACACCTCTCTCATCATTTTGTGCAGCTGTTGGAAAGTCAAAGGATCTGTATTTGAGTGTGGACTTTGCAGCATAGGCATAAATAGTCAAGGGAGGTACCCACTCTTCTGTAAATAAACCCCTACCCTATGATCTGTTAGTAAGTCCAATAAATTTGTGAGGATCCACCCCCCCAAAAAAAGGTTGCGTGTCAGATCCTCTGGAACTGGAGTTATGGATGGTTGTTAGATGCCATGCAGGTGCTAGGAACTGAACCTGGGTCCTCTGCAAGAGCAGCCAGTGCTCTTAACTGCTGAGCCATCTGTGCAGATCCCCTAATTCATTTTCTTAAAAGCAGAGACTGATTACTGAGTAAATAAGGGGAATTAGAATTGGAGTTCTCACTATGAGTCCATTTGGTATTTGTGTATGTGTGTGAAATGGAAGACAGAAGTCTCAGTGTTGGGTGTCTTCCTCTGTCACTCTTCACCTTATTTTGAGACTACAGCTCACTGTTTCAGTTTGACCAGTTGGCCAGCAAGCTTCTGGGATCCTCCTGCCTCTGCCTCCAAGTGCTGGGATTAAAGGGTTACGCCACCATTCCCAGTGAATCCCTGGTTTTTAATATACACAGAGGTTGATTTGGAAATGCAGGTTGAGGTGCATGTGTATAAGATACACAATAGATTTCTTAGCTCTGCTTACTGAATAGGCTGAGAAACAGCAACAGTTTCAGTAGCAATAATCTACAACTAATGTCCAGATACCAGCTGTCAAATACCATTAGCAATCAAAGAAACCAAGGAAGACTATTGAAGAAATGGCTGACTCCAAGAGAGGAGTAGGAAAACAAAGGATGGGCATGTTTTGTACTAGAAGGCAAATTCTCAAAGAATGTTAGGAACATGTTAAGAGGACACAGGAAGCAGCAGCATAAAGAGGCCCCCAAGTACATAATGATAAGAACAAAGACATCTTAGCCAGCTGACGCATTATCACAATTCCTACTAGGATGTAAACTTTGACACTGCTCTCAGAATACATAAACCTGGGGCTGACAAGATGGCTCAGCAGGTAAAGGCACTTGCCTCAAAAATCTGGAAACCTGAATTCAATTCTGGAACCCATATAAAGGTAGAAGAAAAGAACAGATGCCACAAAAGCAGTCTTCTGGTCTCCACATGTGTACTGAGGCATGCATGTCATGCACACAATCATACATACACACAATATTAAAAAAAAAAAAAGGGGGCAAAGACAATAGACAAACCCACAGTTCAGTGCTAATACACCATGAAGCCAGAGATGGACAGATAGTGTAGATAAGAGGGCAGGGTCGAGGGAGGGTCAGATCATGGAGTTTTAAGCCACACTACTGAGCAAGGCACTTGGACTTTTTTTTTCCCCCAAGGTAAAGAAGAGATACTAAAGAGTCTTATGCAGAACAGGGATATATAATTTGATATTTACCTTTGATGAGAGGGCAACAAATTGGAAACACAACAGAGAATCATGCATGAAGGTTGCCATCATAGTTCAGAAAAGTGGCAAAAAGTCAAATTATTGAAGTAGGAATCTGATGGTAGAAGCCAGAAAGTCACCAATTTTCTTGACTTACACCACCCTGAGCATCTTAATTTTTTCATAGCACCCCTAGACCAAAATAAAAATTTTTTTTTTTTTAAGTTAAGAAGCTGGGTCCAATGGCAGCTTCAGATTGGGGCCTGTCATTGTATGCAAGGCAGTGCACAACTTCCTCCACACTACACTCAAGACTGAACACCATCAGTTTCGCTTCTCTAGTGATTTTCATGGAATACTGACTTTTTAATCACAGAAACCACTGAAAACAGCTTCACGAAGACATGAGGCCACTGAAAGACTAATGAATGCTGAAACTGGACACTATCTCCAGCTAAAAGTTTCCAGAACACTGATGGATGTCACTATGCTTAACTTGCAAATAAAATTTATTCCATAATACCCTTTGAGTTTGTTGTAATATCTTTGGATATCTAAAGGACAACTGGGAGCAGGAAGATCAGGCTGCAAAAGTATATGGGAATGGATGTAAAAGAATTTCAAAAACTTTGTATTTATTGTCAAAAAAAAATGTTCAAAAATAACCTGTAAGGCTGGAGGGTGTACACACACACACACACACACACACACACACACACACACACAGAATCTTGACAGTTTGAGGATTTTAAAGACAGATTTCTTGAAGCCAAATGGAAAAGAATAACATCCTTACACCATACCACGAAGATTTTAACACATTTCACACTAACGCAAGATGCTCAGATTTAAAGGAGAGGGTGTTAAGTACACACAATGTCCTTCTTCCCTCTGCCTGATGCATAAACACAGTTCTACAGGTGCTGGTTCTTCCTCCAACCTGACCATCTTTCCTTACTTAGGAGCCTAAGAAAAGCAACATACTCCATTTTGCTGCTTTCTGTAGGTTAAGAAGGGGTTTAATGAAGTGAGGGAAACTCACTGATGGCTCAAATTAGAGTGACAGAACTACTCAGATGTCAATGCTAATTCCTCATATGTATTAATGCTAAAATCAATTATTATGCCCTTCCAAGCATCTGTGGCCAATCTGTTCTCGAATCACCCAGACTCTAGACAATGCAGGCAAGGAAGGGTGGAGGGATACATCCAGAGAGTAACACCTACTTCTGAGGAAAACACTGTCACAGCTTTACTCAAATTAACACTTAAGTGTCAGCACCAGCAATGAGGTAACAACCTATATAGACCCCAAGCCCTTCAGATGGCAGGTCCCACAGCATCTAGCCTTGCCACCTGGCCACATGCTATGAGTCACTTTTCCTTCCACTGAGAACTACCAGTGCCTGATCTAACAGTGCAAATGTGGACACAGGATGAAATACAGGGAACAGAAGTCTCTTTTTCCCTTGGGCTGTTTTCTTTAGTGCCATTTCTTAACTATATCTCTTAGCACTGATTTCAAATGGTTAAAGAGAACAAAGAGGGATTGCTTTTTGCAGGTAATGCTTTTGCTTGGTATCCTGGAAAACACTCATCCTCCAGAGACAGAAAGAAGTTCACAATGGGATAGGGTTAGGACCAGAGAAAAAGTGTACCACTGACACAGGAACGTACACCCATTGGAGGAATTCCAATACTTTACTGTGAGCCAAGAACAAAGTTTAAAAGGAAGAGGACCACTTCTGAAAAGCAACCAAGAACACTTACCAAGACACTTGAAAGGTATAACAACGTGACTCTTGCATTGTTTTTTATCCCTTCGGCACCAACTGTCAATATTGACTGGCTGGTTTGCTTCCATCACATTTGTGATCTGCAGCTCTGGATATATCTGTTAAAAAGAGGGGAAAAACCCCACACAATAAACCATCCTACAGACAAACATTGTCAAGTAAGGAGAAACAGCTAGGTTTGCTCAGCCAACAGCCTCATCCTATATGAACCTCAAGTTCCACTCTACTATTCCTCATTCCAAGGGCAATAATCAAGTAAAAATACATTGAATTATCAGTTTTCTTTTGACAGCTTATATTTCTGACTGTTCCCATAGACTCCACTTTAAAAAGGGTATCTTTATTTAAGGGCAAATGCAGCAAGCAGGCTTTCAATCTAAAACAAATTTGATTAGGTATCAAGTTCATGTATAAAAGGTATATAGATTGCTGAGTTCTCAAACTAAAACACTGAAGAGGCGAGTCTATTGAAGGAACTGCTAAAGAAGGTGTAGAACAATAGTTCTACCTTATGTGCTAGTCTTTTGTTGTAGTTTTGAGACAGGGTCTCCCTGTTACCCCAGCTGGCCTGGAACTCACTATGCAGATTGAGCTGGCCTTGATCTCACAGAGATCCACATTATATGCCTCTGCCTCTACTGGGCATGTGTTACCATGCCCAGCTCTATTTGCTAGTCTTGATAAGAAATTAAAATACTTCATATTCTTTTTTTACTGAACCAAGATCAGCTGAATCAGATTTGGGATGATCCTTCACAATACTGGCAGCTTTCTAAGAATAAGTAAAAAATACAAGCACAGGGCTAGAAAGATGGCTCAGCAGTTAAGAGCACTGGCTGCTCTTGCAGAGGACCCAGGTTTGATTCCCAGCACCCATACGGCAGCTAACAACTGTCTATGACTTCAGTTCCAGGGGATCTGACACCCTCTTCTAACCTCCAGGGGTACTGCACAGCACAGGTGCACTTACATGCACACAGGTAACACACTCATACACATACAATTAAAACACAGAGACAGACATACACACACATTTTGTTTTCTTTCTAAACCAGGAAGACAAAAGAACTCTGTACTTGCCAAGCTTCTGGAATATTCTTTCTGCAAAGAACTGGGAACTCAAAACACACAGGCAAAACCTCTGCAATGTCTCAATCATACCAGACATTTAGACACAAAGGGCCTGGGGCACTGGTTTTAGCACTTTGTGGTCTTGGGTTTAAAAAAAAAAAAGTAAAACAGATGCAACCCTGACTCAGAAAAAATGGAGTAACGTTCTGGCAACATTCTTACCTCCTGACAGTACTGAAGAACTTCCTCCTTTGTTCCAAAGCAGCTCTTGGTACCCGATGGGTCAGGTTCCCATTTCCCAGTCTGAATGTTCACATGCATATTCAACTTCCCACAAAACATTGCAATTTGAGGTTCGGCAACGGCAAATCCTGTTCCAGCATTGGCTGCAAGAGCCTACCAAAAGGAAAAAAAAATTCTGCTTATTCAAAAAGGTTTGTAGGCAGGCACAATCATTCGATGGTGCATACACAATCAATAATTTATAGCTGTAATACCCAGTGCGGTTCTGCTTAAGATCTCAACATGAAAAAAAAACCAGAGGGTGGGTGGCAGGTGCTGCAATGTGAATACAATGGAATACTTGAACTGCAGTCTGAAAAAATAAGAATTACCAAGCTGGCAAGAAGGCTCAGCAGGCAAAGGCACTTACCACCAAGGCTGATGAGCTGAGTTTGATCCCCAAGACCCACACAGTAGGAGAAAACTGACTCATGCAAGTTGTCCCCTGACCTGCACATGTGCACCCGGGTCCATGCCCTACCAACCTTCTCAAAGTAAAAACATAATAAAAGAATTAGCAAAAACTACATGGAACTGCCTTCCAGTTTGAAAACAAGCATTTCAGGACAAATAAAAGGAAATTCAACACTGTATTTGTGGAAACAAATCCCTAAATGGAACAGTTTATATAGCCTCATGAGTTAGTAGATTCATAAGCTACTGGAAACCAGGGTATCTGAGTATCAAAGAAGACAGTTAAAGTCCCTAGCAGTGTTTCTATTGGTCTATCTCAAACTGAATTGGGTGGGAAAAGGTAGGTATGGGCCAATATAAACTTTTTCTTGATTATTTTCTTCGTTCCTTTTTTTTTAAAAAAAAAAATTGTTTTGAGTCAGGGCCTCGCCAGACTGTCCTCAAACTCACAGAGATCCACCTGTCTCTGCCTCTCTCTCTCTCTCTCTTTTTTTGTTTTTTTTTTTTTCTTTTTTTTGGTCTTTTTGAGACAGGGTTCCCCTGTAGCCCCAGCTGGCCTCGAACTCACACTCAAAGATCCAACGGTCCCTGCCTCCCAAGTTTAAAGATGTATGGCATCATGCCCAGCTTCTGTCTCTACCTCTCAAGTGCTGGAATTAAAGGCCATCTTTCCCATCTCTTGGTTATTTAAAAGAACAAAAATGAAACAAAAAGATTTGTCTCAAAAGCTTAGCCATTTACTTTTTTTTTCCTTTTCTTTTTTTGTGTATGTGTGCTTCTGCTGGTACTGGGGACTGGCCTACTTTAGGGCCTTGTGTATCTTAGGCCTGTATTTTACCACTGAGCTACGTCCTCATCTCTTTTTACACTTTTTAAAAAGATATTACAATTTATTTTTATTTTATGTGTATGGGTGTTTTGCCTGCATATATCTAAGTGTACAGATGTGTGTAATGCCCACGGAGGCCAGAAGAGGGCATTGGATCCCTGGACCTGGGGCTACAGACAGTTATTAGAGGCCATGTAGGAGCTGGGAACCAAACCAGGGTCCTCTACAAGAGCAGCCAGTGCTCTTAACCCCTGAGCCATCTCTTTTCACACCCCAGCCCTTCTTTTTACATTTTTAAATTTTGAGACAGACTCTCACTAAGATACCCAGGCTGTTCTTGAACTCCTCCTGTCTCAGCTTCTCAAGTGGCCGGGATAATAGGCCTATCTTTATATTCACATTAACAAATCCTTGTCCCAGGAAGTGTGTTAGAGTTTTAAATATTTTACTTATTATTTTTATTTTTATGTGTATGCATGTATTGCCTGCATGTAGGTAAGTGCACCTGTGTTGTACAATGCCCACGGAGGTCAGAAGATGATGTCGGATTCCCTGAAACTGGAGTTACAAACAGTTGTTAGCTGCCATGTGGGTGCTGGGATACGAACCTGGGTCTTCTGCAAGAACAGTCAGTGTTCTTTAACTGCTGAGCCATCTCTCCAGCCCCCATGTTAGAATTTTAAAAGGACCTTTGGATATATATATGATGAAGTGAAAGCATCATGGAAAAGCTAGCCTCTACTCCCCATTTGGGATGCCTCTAACCTGACTTCAGTCTCTTCTAATACCAACAGCAAGTCTACTCCTTCCTTCACACACCAAATCATCAAAGTAGAGAATGGCTAAACTCCCAATAGTTTACTAAATCAATCATACAACAAAAATCTGTATCAAGCAACTATATTGAGTAAAGCAACATGCTAAAAGCTTAGGATACAAGCCTGAGCAAAAAGTCATGACACTCCTTTCTGAGCTGCCAGTCTAAGGTCAAGTCAAGATTTATACAAAAAAGGATGACTGGGTTTCCAGCTCTAAAGAGGAAGACAGCATAGTACTGAAAAACAAAACAAAACAAAACGGAATGTGACCTAAATCTGGAGAGATGATCAAGGACAGCAATACTTGTGGAGCTCTGGAGATAGTGTTGGAGAGGATGGAGAAGCTTTGCAGCAGAGCCAGGTCCAGACAGTCTCCAGACAGAAAGTACCTAAAGGACCTAAGCCTTCATCACCACAAGTGTTGAGAGCTCTTACACACAAAATGATTTCTCCCAAGATGCAGCTGATGCTTGTTCTGGCTGCAGGATAGCTGGTAAGTATGGTAAAGAGTAAACAGCAAACATACAGGGAAATGGCTCAGAAAGCTGGAGATGCACAGACAAGGGAAAGGTAACAGCAGCCTGGGCTAAGGTGATGCAAACAGGAGAAAGCCTCAAGATCACAAGAGAAAATGGGCAAGATTTGATGATACATCAGATTCAGAGAATGAGAAAGAAGACAGCAAGTTATTTGCAGTGTGCCCTTGAAGTAGATAATGGGACACAAGGTGAACAGCTTTTTCTGCCACACATACCATTATGTTCAAAAGCCATGGGGCTAACAGAACATGAACCAAAACCATCAAACTTGTGAGGCAATATAATTTTCATCTCAGTGGATTATCTCGGGCATTTTCTTATATAAGACAACAAAGGCGACTAACACAGTTCGCAATACTCATCATGTGGTGGTCTCATCATGGAAATAGAACACTGAGAGGGATTTCATGAGTTAAGCTTGTGCCTATAGTTCCAGCTAACCAGAAGTCTGAAGAAGGAAGATCATGTGAACCCAGGAGTTTGGTACCAGCCTGGGCAACACAGCAAGATCCTACTTCTTTTTAAAAAGGACAAAGAGGGAGTGGGGGGAGGGGGATTTCATAAGCAATTTATCTTATGTTGGGTAAAAATAACTATTCCACAGTCATTCTCTGGCAGCATTCTCTTGTTTTGTGATGAGAACTTAACTAGTATCAGCCCAAAATAGGCAAGCAGCAGCCCTGAGGAGTTGTAAACACCAAGGTTCCTGCAAGCACTGTCCTTGAAGAGCGCGGGCATCTATGCATTCAGTGTTGCAGTGATCCTCCTTTATCCATGGGGTGCCCAAAGTCCCCAGCAGGTGCCTGGACATAGAGTACACTGAACTGTATCCATGGCTTTCCCTACACATCCATGCTATGACAAAGTTTAATGTATAATTTAGCACAATAAGAAATAAACACCAATAATTAAAAACCAAATAGAATAGTTTACTGAAATCTGCCTGCTTTCTACTACTACAAGAGGAGAAAGCACAAAGACTTGTTGGTTCTCTAGGAGAAAGCTAAATTGGAATCAAAATGTTGCCAACATATATTGCTGTTGAAAAACACCTCAATTAAATCCAATGAACAACTAGTACCTTTATTAACTAACACTGACTGTAGTCCTGCTGCAACAAATAAACATTTATAAAAGGAGAGAGGTCCTATGCTTTCATTAAAGTTGCACAGTGATGTGCATTCTGACTCTTAAAGGTATCTGGAAAAATAAACACTTACTTATACATAATATGCTAATGGTGCTTTACTCAAACAAACCATTAAAAGATATAGAGGATATACAAGACAATTATGTATAATTTTCACACTGAAGCTCAGGAAAGACCTGCTTCTTTTGTGACTCCCTGTCTAAAGAGTGTGGCTAGAAATTTAAGACTGCAACAGAGGAACATGGGTTTCTACAGTGAGAAGTGTGCGTGTATGGGTAAATACAAACTAGTTTTCCTAAATTCTTTGCTTTCTACTTCAAGAGCCCAGATAAAAATAAATGAAGGAGGGGGCTGGAGAGATGGCTCAGCAGTTAACACTGGCTGTTCTTGCAAAAGACCCAGGTTCAAATCCTAGCACCCACACGGCAGCTAACAATTGTCCATAACTCCAATTCCAGGGGATCCAACAGACTCTTCTGTCCTCCGCTGCCTGTATGACACGGGTGCACTTACATGCAGGCAATACACACATGCGCATAAAATAAAAATAAATAAAAAATAAATGAAGGAGCTAGGCATGGTGGTATACACCTGTAATCCCAGCACTCAGGAAGTTGAGGTAAAAGGATGGCTAGGAGAAAGTAGGGGGATTAGGAGGGAGAGGAAGACAGGGCAGAGAGAAGGAAAGGGGAATCCAGGAAAATATGATAAATGTATTAAAAAAATTCAAATTGGAACATGTTTCCTAAAACCACTATAAATGAACTACAAAGTTAAACTGCTATGTGTGGTATTGCATGTGTCCTTTTATAGTAAAGGCAGCTACTAAACAAGTAGGATTTGGGGTGCCATATTTAATCATTCAGAAGGCTGGGAGGAGCCAGGTGTGATGCTGCCCTTAATCCCAGCACCTGGTAGGCAGAGGCAGCTGGATCTCTGTGGATTCCAGGTCAGCCAGGGCTACAGTGAGATCCTGTCTTTAAAAAAAAAAAAGGAAAAAGAGATGATGCACTCTCCGAGGTTCCAGAACAAAGTTTGCTCCTTTAGTCCCCCAAATGAACACAGCTAAGAAACAGCGTTGATTAGTTATATGAGGTCACCAAGCCACAACCTTGAAATGGCCAATTTCAGTGCAGGCAGCCATTCATCAGCACCAAAGATTATATTCCACATGTTACTCATTATGGTTGTTGACTAAAAGACCACAAGAGTTCCAACTGTATAAATGTGCAGTTTATGGGTCAACCACGGAGGTCAATATATCAGTGGTAAGTGCTTTTGATTTCTACACTGAGATGGTCAGTGTTACCTTCCCCAAAGAGAATCTAAAATATCAGAGGTTAAAGCAACAGGAAGGAGGAGCA